TATTTAAAAAGTAAACTATATTTCATTAAATAGTCCACAAGGAAGACTTGAATTTATAAGAAATTACAACATGTTTTTAATTAGTTTGGCTAATATTGCAAAGATTTCAGCTATTCCTGAATGAACAGATTTAATGCAATTCCATTTTTTTTACAGTATCGAGTAGCATAAGATGATTCTTACATTCATCAGCAAATACAGAGCAATGACACAAAGTTAATTTTCTAAGAAAAATACATTTTGTGATGGTGGAAATGTGAAGCAGCTCTACCAGGGAAATATTTATGTTACTATTCTTGAGAAAATATCATTCTGTTATTAGAATACACAGGACATTAGTAGAAATAGTCACAATTAGATAAACTCATAGATGTTATATTACACATATATGTAGGTGTAAATATAGATATTTTATAGACATGTAACCTATTGAAAAAAGAGGAAATGAAAATAGAGGAAAACAGTCTACAGCAGTCTGGTAAATTTGACTATTTAGAACATTTATTAATGTACATTCACATTTTGAAAAACACATCAAGGTAAATTACAAATAATTTAATGAGTTAAATTAGATTTGGTAAAACATATATGTTGCTAGAGTATCACAGAAACAATAAAACGGAGGTCTATGATATAATATACAATTTTCCTTCTCTTTAGCATTTTCTTATTTTTATGCCTCTTAATTTATCATATATTGTTTATTAAAAACAAATGATTTCTTCACTTAAAGGAACATACAATCTAGTCAAGACCTAGGCCATAGTATTTATTAACTACTGCATATGCTCTCTCCTGTGTAAATGTATGACAAATGAGGAACCAAGGAGACATGCATTTTTTCTATTGACTGATCACTTGTACATCGCTCTACTTAGCCTCAAAGATCCAGGCAATTACATCAGGCCTTCTGTACTGAATTCAGCTAACAACCCAATTGCTGAATGCTACATGTGGATCTGGGCTGGGAAAATATGAACAGGGATGGGGGAGGCAGGAAGAAAGGGGAGATTCATTGCTAACATTCTCATTGCAAAAGAGCCATTGACTAGCACCCGCACAAATTTTAAAAATCACTGCCGCAGCTTATATCTGTTGCTCAAGAAAGTTTGGAAGTCAAGAAAGGTTAAGGTTAGCTAAGGTATAACTGACTAAACGTAGACCTATAAAGACCCCAAACCAGCAAGTCCTAGTTTCTGTAGAGAAAGTACAAATGTTCCCCATATTTTACCCCATTTTCCCTAAAACTTGATCAAATCCTCCAGTGGGACTCTAATAGGCATGGAGGGACAATTTAAAATCCCATCTTTCCATTTTAATGGGGACTCATCAACAAGGCGGAGGTGGAAAGGAGGCGTTCCAATTCATGTGTTTTGATACTCCCTATCCCTCTTTCCCTAAAACCCAAACATTCAGCTGAATGCCTTAGGACACATATCTGCTATAAATTCATTTTTTATCTAATTTGTCTGAGATCTAAGCTTCCTGTGGAGGTCCGAGATCAAAGGATTTGATTCCTTCTGATGTCGGCGCTGACATATAATGTGTGCTGACTTAGTTCTGTCTATAACCTCACAGTGGGAGGCAGCCAGCCTCCCTGGGCACCTTTACACAGTGAACTTTCATTTCAATGGGGAGTCTGTCAGGTATGTTGCTGATTGGAGCTGCCATGTAAATAATTCATGGGAGCTTTTTAAATGGTTTTGGGTCTGCAAAGGAAAACTAAGCTTGTGTTAGTCTTTTATGAATAGATGCAGACTTGAAGAACAAGGGGGAAAATTTTTTCAACGAAGGTCTCTCAAAAACAGGATAACAATATCTTCAATGGGTTGAAAATAGGTGACTTGCCGTGTTTGATTCCTCTTATATGAAGTGCTATTGGTTTTACCAAGGGATTAAAATTCAAAGCCTTTTTACCTTTTGAAAGTTTGCTTCTACCTGACAATTTACTATTCTTGTGCTTTGGTTATTTGCTGATCTTGATAAACTATGTCTTTTCCTCCTGGTGGGAGCAGTAATTATGGAGATGATACCAGGCTCAGTGCTTGGCATAGGACTGGGCATAATGAGCAGACAAGGTTGATGGCACAAAAAAGAATTCCTTCCCTGAGGGAACTCGGAGTCTTAGGAGGAAGATGTGACTGTCACACAAGGAAAGGTGACCAATAATAGAAGCTGCTGTACAGGTCAAATGAAAAACTCCAGTCAACAAGTATTGAGGCATAAATCAAAGTAGCTTGAGCTGTCAAGAAACACTTCTGGAAGGAGTTGCAGGTCCCATAGGAAAACTAAGTAACCTGAAAGTTCTCATAGCCCTAAGCCAGGGAATCATGCCACAGCTAGGTAGCTGTGGCAGAGCCACTCTGGGAACAATGACTGGAAAAGAAGAGAGAAGATATGAATAACTTGGGTTTATCATAATATTAATCGAAGCATCATGGAAATAGTATGAACGACTTGATTACTTTATCTCATTTTACTGCTGCACATCAAAAGCATTTTACATATATTTATACTGTGTTATTACTTTCTCTCATCCTCACCTCATTTTCCATCCATTGTTAGATTGAATTGAAGTCGGAAATTGATATTCTTCACCCCAATGCTATCTCTTAGGGTATGACAGAGACACGATTGCTGTCTCATAACACAAACCAGGGCAGCTTTTAATAAACTAGGAGAAAAGCATGTTGCATAGGTTCATAAATTAGCATCTACATTGCATGTAAAAGAGCGGTTAATAAATTTGGTGGTGAAATGTGAAAAAAGCCAGGACAGTAAATGTAGATGACGATATTTCCACCTATGCCCTGGGGGTTTCAATCTTTTCTTTTACTGTAAGGCAGGTGAAGGATGCCCTCTGCATGCATGATATACTTCCACACACAGATCCAACTGAACGTGCTTCCTAGCTCCTCATCACTGTCTTTACCTACGCAGTCTTGTAGGGTACCTAGATCATCTCTTTACCTATGTTGTATTCTTTTGAGTTTATTTATTTATTTATTTATTTGAGACACATTCTTACTCTGTCACCCTGGGTAGATTGCTATGTCATCATAGCTCACAACAACCTCATACTTTTGGGCTTAAGCGATCCTCTGCCTCAGCCTCCCAAGTAGCTGGGACTACAGGCACACACCATAATGCCCAGCTACTTTTTTTTTTTATTTTCTATTTTCTGTAGTGACAGGGTTTTGCACTTGCTCAGGCTGGTCTCCACTTCCTGGGCTCAAGCAGTCTACTCACCTCGACCTCCCAAAGTGTTAGGATTCTAGGTGTGAGCTACCACACCTGGACTTTTTGAGTTTATTTTTAATCTCATGTAATAGAAAAAATAAAATACAGTGAAAGGTCAAAAGAAGAAAACAATTAAGGCAAGCTTGCCAAAATGAAATATTATACATTTTAGTAAATTGTTAAGTAGCACCTGAGCATAAAATAAAGTTGTACAGTGGACATCCAGAAAGGGTCTGACAGGATGAAATTCACGTAGTCAGTTGCCAGGAGAAAGAGAATGCGAACCCCAATTTTGGAACTTGAATCCCATGCGCCTTTTCCTTTGTACTATTATACAATCATACATGCACCACACATATATGGATGCTTATTCATATATTTATATTATCTCTACATATGTATATATTCATGCTATTATAAAACCAAAGATATTTACATAATGCATTTGGCATAAAAGCTGAAGTATTAAATAAGACTGATTTGGGGGGGGGTTCACATTTCTTAATCTAAGTAAGAGCTGGGCCCCTGGTAAAGCCTGATGGTGGTCTAGATTTCACGTTTTGGCCTTGTGCTTATGATGAAAAATCCTTGTTGACTTATCAATATTATAAAAGTGCATTTCTTGGAAACATTATTATCAAACTTGTATTAGATATTTTTTGTATTATATAACACAAATAAATTATATAATATTTGTATGAATTACAAATTGGGCATAGGACACTTTTTTAGTGCCTTTTAAAGGACAAATACATATCCAGAGCTATTTGGAAATTGATAAGCTGATATAAATCAGTCTTTATTTGACAATATCTTGTCAGGAATGCTAAATATGCCAAACGTGATCGGTTGATGGAGAGCTAAATCCACATTCTTCCCCTACTTCTTTTCTTCACAGATGTGAAGATGGAGGTCGTGCTGGGCAAGCCCCACCAGTCACGAAATGGGGTGTCCAGAAGAAAGGTCAGCCGCCACTCCATCCCCGAAGTCGCTGCTGTCCCTGCTCCCAGTGTTACTGGCACCTTGTCCCAGGGGCACACCTGTGCTCCAGGCTCTCCTGCTTGGCAGACGAAGCTGCAGGAGACTGGGAACTGGAAGGAAGCCCAAGAGCAGCTGCTCAGATACCAGCGGGCAGGTCACGGTCAGCTGCTGCTGCTATACCCAGATCTCAGACAAGACAGGCAGAAGCAGCCGGAGCAGAGCCCACTGAGCAAGGAAAGTGGCAGCTCAAGGCTTTCCCAAGAGAAAAATGCCACCTGTGGGGGTGCTGAGGCCTTCTGCCTGCGTTCAGTACACCCAGAAGCTATGCAGGAGCAGCTGGGCTCAGGGACTAGTGTGGACATTTGGGCTGAACGGCAGAACGCTCAAACTATTTCTGGATAGTAAGTAAGGGAGGTGAGACCTGAGCTGCAGAGACAACTAAGAAGGGAGAGTGTGGATTTTGCATCTTCTTTGCAACTATATGGAAGCTGAAAAACAATAATGTAAATGCTTATAGACAGAAGAGTATCTGAAACATCTTTTATATTTTCCTCTGATTATTGTCCAATGCCAGACAATTAACAGGTTCTCGAACACTTGTTACTTCTCTACTTACTTTTAACTTAAGCCAGTTTATATTCTTGAATTTGCCAACTTAACAGTACTATAAGACTGATGTGTACTCCAGTAGGAGTTATTATTAAATGTCCTCTGGGATGATCATCTACAAGGGTATTTTTTTCATTTCTTTTCTTTTTCTTTCTTTCTTTTTTTTTTAGACAAGGTCTCCATCTGTCTGTAGTGCAGTGGTGCATTATAGTGCACTATTGCCTCAAACTCCCAATTCAGCCTCCTGAGTAGCTAGGATTACAGGTGCTCAGCTACTTAAAAAAATGTAGAAACTAGGTCTTGCTATATTGCTAAGGCTGGTCTCAAAGTTCTGGCCTCCAGAAATTCTTTTGTCTAGATTTTATAATGTGCTAGGATTATGGGCATCACCACCTGGATCCCATCACCAGGATTATGGGCCTGGCCAACTTTGGGCTCCTTTATAGAAGCGATCATGATAAGGTCTGGTCACAAATGGCCAACAAACTTATGAAAAATTGTTGTCCATAATCAACAGAGATATGCAAATCAAAACCACCCTGGGACATTAACTAACCCCAGTGAGAATAGCCCACATCATAAAGTCCCAAAGCTTCAGATGCTGGTGTGGATGTGGGGAGAAGGGAAGACTTTTACAGAATTGGTGGAACTGCAAACTTATGCAGCCTCTATGGAAAGAAGTATGGAGAATCCTCAAAGAACTCAAAATAGACCTTCCATTTGATTCTACAATCCCATTACTAGGTTATCTACCTAGAAGAAAATGTCATTTTATCATAAGGGCATTTGAACCAAATTTGTTTATTTCAGCTCAGTTTATAATCACTAAGATGTGAAATCAACCCAAGTGTCCAACAAATCATGAATGGATTAATAAACTGTGGTATATGTTTGTACACCATTGAATACTATTCAGCCATAAAAAAGGTGGAGACTTTACATCTTTTGTATTAACCTGAATAGAGTTGGAGAACATTCTCTTTAGTAAAATAATGGAAAAGCAAGTATCCAATGTATTCAATACTAATATGAAGAATATTAGAGTGGAAAAGCAAGTATCCAATGTATTCAATACTAATATGAAGCCAGTAGATGAACAAATACACTCCACAGAAGAGAAAGACTCAGTTTAATTCATGATGTGGAGAGGAGGAGAAGAGAGGGGCAGAGAGGAGGGAGGAGGAGGATTGATGTGCTCCTGCCTAATGAACACAATGTAAGGGAAATGGCACACAATGTAAGGGAAATGGCACACAATGTAAGGGAAATGGCACACCTCCTGGGTGAGGGGCACAACTACAACAGGGACCTTACCCAACAAATGCAAACATTGTAATCTAATGGTTTGTACGCTTATAGTAATCTGAAATAAAGAGAAAAGAAAAGGTCTGATCAGCTTTAGTTCCTTCTGCTGTGTGAAGAAAAAACATTTCTTCATCTTATAGGGACTTTTGGAGGACAGGAGAACACCCTGCTGATCTGTCAAAGCTTACCTTGTAACCACAAGCAACTTCCTGGTTTTTTACAAGCAGATTTTATTTCATGGTTTAAATTCAATCCGTCTGGGGAGCCCACAGCAGTGTCAGCACACCAAGTTTGTACCTCATGGGTATTCACACGTGCAGATTGATATTCTCATGGGCTTTGCTGAGAGTTTAGTTAAGGCCAAATATGTAAAAATACCAAAGTTGGGAAAAGAAACTGTGGACCATTGTTTTATTTTTCAGTGATTCTTTCTGTTATAAGCTGTGTCAAATTTACACCTGGGAGAGAACTGCATTGGAAGACCAGAGATAACCAAGTGGCCAACTGGATTATTAGCTAACTCATTTAGTAAAGAGCTGCTTTATGGGGAAGAGAACGCATAAAGCTGCCCCGCCAAGGGGAGGAGAGTTTATGTCACGAGCAGCCTCTCTACATGATAGGAGAGATCTCTGTCATGGAGATTAGGTCAATGGATCAAATAATACTGATAAATTTGGTAATGCCAGTTTTATCTAATTCATAAATTTATGTAGGACTTATATCTGTTCAAACTGCCACTTTAAGCAGCTTGAGTGTGTCCCTGGCTCTGGGTATTGAACTTTCCCCATGAGAATATAAAATGGCAAAGCAAAGACAGTAGAAATGAGGATTTTCAAAAAGGTTGCTGTCAGATTTTCTTGAATTTTCCAGTCTCTAAAAAGACTGTAAGAAGAGGCTTTCCTGTGATTGCGTTGGAACAGAGAAAGGAAACACACTTTTCTATTGCTGAATTTTAAAGTATGATCCCCTGGAATTAGCTCTATGGGAGGTCTAGCAGAAAACCTTCCTTTCTGTAGCCAGTGAAAAAGTTTGTCACCCTACTAAGAGTTGGCAAGAGTTTTCTCAGTCTTTGTCCATGTGTTAAGTGTCTTGTGACCATCTCAAATCTTCTGACTGCCCCTAAAGGAGGTAAGCAACATTCTTTGTGTCACTGTGTTGGGTTCTGGAGGAGATATCAGTAGACATTAAGGCTGGTGCTCATCAAGAAATTGCAGTCCAGGATATCTATGTGTGCAGGGAAGGATTTGAAGGGCTCTGGAGGTACAGGCTGGCTACCTATCAGGTAAATCTTTTTGTAGATGTATTTTACTTGGGCACCAGCAGTGTTTAAAAACATAACAAAACAAAACAAATACTAACTTGAATGACTTAGGCAAATATCCTTTCCCCAGTTTAATTAGTCCCTGTGACAGCCAGTTCTTTATCTTATTTTTGTAGCTTCTCGGTCTATGAGATTATTTGCCTTTGCAATTTCAACATTAGTGAATACATGGGATCCTCAAAGAGTGTAATCTTTTTGCAAAGAAACATTTCAGAAATGAAGGCCCTTAAAGACTATAAAATAGTAGCAGTCTTAATCCCAATACTACCCCCTCTGAGCTGAGGGTTTATCCGCACCATGTCCCTGTCACTTGTGATTCCTTCTACCACTTTAAATATCAGCCCAGGTATCTGTCCTGAGATCTACAGTATGCAATAACTACCTTGTGAGAATTTCCAGTAGGTTATTCCACAGACTATATAAGGTTAACACAGCACTAAAACCTTCCTGCTGGTGCTTTTTCTAACTCAATGAATGACATCACTGCACTCAGACCAGAATCTAGACGTCAACCATAATTCCTGAGTCTATTTCACTCTTCCCAGTCAGCTCTGCTCTGTTCTTTCTACCTCTTCTTTACTCTTCTCCCCAGCTTTACTATCTCCTTATCAATCCTCCATGGACTACATACTCATCTTTCTGGCAAGCTTTATCCTCTACCTCTGTTTAGAAACAATCTTAATTAATCTTTTAATTCCACCCCAGAAAAACCTGTGTTCCCTGAGACCTAAATTGACTCTTTGGGTCTAAATAGCAGCTAGTAACATCTAAAGTAACTTGCAGGGCTCTGACACATGACATGGAACTTCAGCGCCTAATCAGAATGCTCCAACCGATAGTTAACTGGTCCCTTGGAAGAATGGGGCAAACACTCTAGGCAAGGTGAGGGGCTCTTGGTTTGTTAGTGTCTGGAGAGGAGCCAATTGGAGCACTGCTGTAGGCCAACCCTGAACTTATTCAGAGCATTCATGTGGGTAACCCAGTAAATATTTCCCAGTAGTAATAGGCTACACCCTTTATTTAAATAAATATTCAACTATGTCTAATTCCTGTATTATTTCAAGGAATCTCTTCTTGCCTTACGTTTCTGGTTTTCTACACGTAACAGAACAGAAGTTTTCTTCTTGCTCTCCCAAGAGATTGAACAAGGTAAAACTCCAGAGAGCTCAAAATGTGAGAGTAGATGGAAGGTCTCACCACAAAAAAAAAAAAAAAGCTTTGAGAAGTGATACATTCATTACTTAGCTCAATTGAGCAATTCCACAATGTCTACATATTTTAAAACTTCACACCGTACATGACAAATATATATAATTTTTATCACATAAATAAACAAAAGTGTTTATAAACACTTGTGGATGTCAAAATTGAAAGAGAATATGTGGGGAGCTAGGATGGCTTTGATCAGCTCTCCATGCTTTGGGGGTCTGGTTCAGGGAAGGTACCACACTTTGATAGAACCTCGTGTTCCTCCCAGAGCAAGAGGCTGAGCCAGCCTGACGCAGGTGTGTCTCACAGCAGACTTCCCCATGTTAGTGCACAGTAGGCCACCAAGAGCAAGTACCCTTGAGTTCTTGCAGGACCCTCCACTTTCGAGAATTATTTAATTGAAGATCTCCCTTCTATCAAGCAGTCTAACTGTAAGTGTATGAAATTACTATACATTGAAATGCATGCAAACTATATGCAAAAATGAGTACTGAGTTTGCAGAAATTGAATGTAAATCACATGCAAATATTATTCAACCAAGCTTCTACAAAATTGTGCATGTCGATAACAGTAAAGAATTTTAATTAACTCTGTCATTTAAAATTCATGCATTTATTCCATATTTTGCTTCCAGAATTTATAACATATTCAATGTCAGTTTTGAAAGAAGGCATTAAACACTATTGAGTGCAGAACAGTGTAGCATTGTGACCAATTATAGATATATTTGAGAGTCAAGTCACTTTCCGCAATGTAATTTTTTAAATGCGAAAAAACATTTTTATAAAGTTAAATGAGGTTTAAGTGTCAGAATACAGAGATTTGAGTTTTTATAAATATTCTTATAGTGTTTTTTTTTTTCTTAGACTTCAAATAAGTTGCTAAAATTACATGGAGATAACTTTTCTTAGAACAATTAAAGGAAAGGGTAAATTTTACCTATCAATTGATCTGTTTTGACACAGAAAATTCATTTAGTGCACTTTTAGGACTTCCTGGGATTTACTGAGATTCAAAGAATCAATTGTTTCAACATTACCTTTGACTTCAGTCTCAAAATAACCTAATTTATTATTACTATATCTTTTCATTTCAAAATTAGTAGCCATCACAAGGTGAGAGTCATTTTCTTTTTGAAAAATGTGAAAAATAACCATTCTCTCATAAATGAAGAAACACAATCATTTGTGGTCCAAGGCTATTTAGAAAATTAGATTGAACTATCCC